AAACAGAGGGGAGGAGACAATGAAAGGAAGAGAGGAACAGTTCATTCTTCACAAGCTGTGAGTAAAAGCAGCAAAGTGCGTCAAGAACTGGGGATTGTTTTACATACAAATGCTGGCAAACACAGTGACACTGCAATGAACAGCACTTCGAAACACTGCTTTCTTACCTGACAACAATTTGTCTGCTGTCTTTTGCCCCCTGTGCTGTGTAAACGTGTGCGTGTGCATATGTGTGTTTGTTGAATACAGCCTGCATCTGAGGGCCTGATTAATTACACTGATTCTCAGAGGACTTGGGGGTGGCATATGTTCTTGCACTGGTGTGAGAACTAGCTGGTGTGCATGCGTGTGTGAAATAGTGTGCATATGTATATGCGTGTTGCATATGTATCCTGCACACTAGTTTTATCTGTGATCTGAGGTGTGTGCATGCATATATACAATCACAAATGCTTGTATGTGTGCTGATGTTAGCTACAAAATACGTGCTTTTAACCACAACTCCTGTGTCTGTGCGTCTATATGTGTATGACATGCAATAATTTGTGTGTATGTATGACTAGGTGTGTGTAATGAACAGAAGATTCAGGTGCAGTGCCAGAAACACACTCCTGAGTGCGGCGGGGGCATCCTGGCACAGATAGGGCACCAGATGTCAGAGCAATGCAGGAACCTGCTCAGTGGACCAGTGACACTTTTTTTTTTCCCCGTGCTGAAAATGGGATCTGGGTGTCCAGGGATAAACTTTCTGAGGTTCAACTGAACCCGCCCCATACATCATTAGATCCAAATATGTTAAGCCATTAACAGAGAACCCTACTTCATTTTCAAACAAATGAGCACCGACAAAAAGTAAATAATCTAATCATTAGATACATCAAGTGACACTGTTACGGGATGTTTACAGATTTCATTACACAGTCCTTAGCTGATCATGCCTCATACATCAATGCCTTTATTATGACGGCTTTACATATTACAGGAACTCAAACTAAACTGTAAGAAATGTTAGTGTGCATAAATTGCATGTCATCAAACATCTCACCGTTTCTTCCCTAAGCTGCCTCTACGCTTTTACAAAGATGTCAAGTCAGCACAGATCAGCAATGGGTTTGTATTTTTACATGGTGTGGCATCAAATTGTAGCCCACATTGAGTGGGCAGTGAAAAAGGGGCCATTGATTCTCAAGAGCTTTTCCTCCTACAATGAATTAATCTTTCTGTAAAATATCAGAATCTAGTGAATAATGCAAATTATATTATTTCAGCTCTACATGTCAGCATGACTTCTGTCTCAATGTCTAAAGTATAACAAAATAAACAGTGTCAGGTACAGCCATGCCTTGACATTACATGAGCAAATTTATTTAGGTCTTCATCTTTGAAGGGAACGGCTGCAATTTAGGTATGAGAGTTTGGATTTTTGGTTATTAAATTCACAAAACATCAACACACACCGCTGTGTTTTCATTCCTTGTGGGGACTTTACATTGACTTACATTCATTTCCTGTAGACTTATCCTAAACGTAACCATAACCACTATCTGCCTAATGCCTAACACCTGACCCTAACACTTCACCTAACTTCATCCTAACCCTAAACCATGTTGCCACCCTAAAATTCAGTGATTTGGCCGAGTCCCCACAGTGTGTTAACAGGTTTCGGTCCTCATGATGTAATACAAAGACACACACACTTCCCTGGGAGGACTACAGCCATTTTATGAAAGCTAATGGAGATCTAAATGCAGAATAAAAAAGTGAGTAAACTCTAAAAGGTCACAACAACAACAACAACCACCATGTGTCCAAAAGGAGTGCCTTTGAAAAACATCCAGAAGCCATAGTTACTTCAGTCACATGAAGTCACTCTACAGAAGAGCTTCCATTAAATGTAATGTAATGAGTCTAAACAGCATCAAGGAAATAAACATTCTAAAGCCCATTAACAGTCTCTGGAAATGGCAGGGCTGCTTTAAAGCAATAACCATGAAGCAGGTTTGCTATAGCCATTAAGTCTCTAATGGCAGCTAAAACAAGGACCAGCCAACTCCTGACAAGAGACGATACTGAGAAGGAAGAAATGATGTCTCTGAAAATGACAGCCACAAGGCTGCTCACTCCAAATTCAATTTGCTAGTGGTAAAAAAAACAGCATTCAAAACATGGATTTGGGGTTGTTAATTTGACAGCTACAAATAGGAGGGCTGGTCCCAAACACTTCTTGTTTTGTTTTCTGCTCAGTTTCTGCCAGCGTGCTGGGCAGGTCGTGACGCTAGCTCTCTGCTCGAGGTGCCATTTGTAATTTTTCCTGCACAACTAGTGAGACTAACTACGTGTGTGCAAGTTTGATTGCTTTGAGCCAGTATCTCTTACAGAGAGTGCCTTCTTTGTTACACACTTCTTTCCCCACTACCTTGCCGTAGTATAGGCAGCCTCCAGCCTTATTGTTAATGATAGAAATCACTTGAGGTTATTAACCGATTACACATTCTCCATCAGATTAGGAAGGCTGTACTGGTCTGCTTCTGCTATGGGAATTAGCACTGCATGTTTCTTTTCACGCCCTGTCCGGCAATGACATATCACATCCCTTCATGGACATTTGTTATTGCCAGGCAAGTTGCTAAAAACAGCTTTTAGCTGTTTTGAACACGTGTGTTTGTGTGAGATATGAGGAAGGTGGGCGAGTGTTTCTATTTTTTTCCTCTCTTTTATAGGTACATGCAATAGAAAGAGGCTGTCAACTTCATCACTGAGAGGCACTCTATATTATTCACACATTTCCATGTGGTGTAGCAGAGTCAGGGTTAATTTAGTTTTAATTTAACAGTCTAGATAGGACTGAGTTTATCTTCTGGCACCGAGCTGTATTTAAAAGGCTTTAGGCAAAGATAAACCCTGCCTTTTCATTTTTCACTGATGGAACTGGAAACAAAAATGATTTACAATATATAACATGTCTGTGTGCTGTGGCCAATCAAGCTTTAGCCAGCTTTACAAAGTAGAGAACAGAGGACGTGCACGCTGTCTTGTGACTGAGATGCATGGCGACAGTTGACCTATAAGGGGCTGACTCACCCTCACGTTCACTTCACCACTAATATATTCACTTAGTAATGCTCAAGGGGATGTGCAGTTCTGCTGTGTAAAAATGGCTGCACACAGCAACTCGTACACATGTACGCAGGCTAAAAAGCAAACAAAGAATATGTGTGAGGTCTGAAGCACGTTGGTTTTATGGTAACAGAATTAAGCAAAAAGATGCCTATTATTACATACAGGAAATAGTCAAATGGTTGAAGCTACAAAAAGAAGATGTGTGATATGTGTGCACAGCATGTGCTGTGCATGTGTGTATTCATATACACAAATTATAAGGTATGCAAAGAGAATTAGCTATTCAATTCTTAAGCAAACATACAGTCAGGAGAAGGGGCCCAAGGTTCTAGGAGGCCAGTGCTCATCCATTGCTAAGGGAAAATGACTGAATAAATCATTCAGAACAAAAAAAAAGGGACCTCAAAAGCTCTAGATCATAAGAAAGAGGAAGAACAGAGCAGAGAGACAGAAAAAGATACACAGGCAGAGGCCTGAGTCTTATCAGCAGAAGATCAGCGTAAGAGATAAGGCCTCTAGGCAAGGCGTTGTGTTTAGCCTGTTCGAGGCTTCCTGTCATCATCATTAAGGCCGGCTCTCTGATGACCACTGCGGAACAGAGCAGCCATTTGGAAAGACACCCAGTGAGGAGGAAGATAAAGAGAGACAGGACCATGGCTATATTAAGTCTAATGAGCAGTGTATGCACAATCCCATGCTGTGGTAAAGGCACTTGAATCCAGACCCTTTAGTAGATGTAGAAACGCTGCATAATTTTATGGCTGTGCTAGTCTCTCTGTTTTATTTGCCATAACAATTATGTCAAAAATATGGATATTTTCTTTTGGGTGTCCACTATACTTTAACATGACAAAGTTTTTTCCTGCATAAATTAACAAGTCAGAGATCACAATATCCAGCTTTCTGATGAAGAAGCTTCTCATTCCCTCCCACTATCTGTACATGTCCCAAGTAACACTTAGAAAGAATGGGAACTAATACTTACTGTCCTTTGAAAACCAAACAGCCAAAACCTAGTCTAATGAGGTGGTGGTTTGCCTTGGAGATGGGGGAAGGACAGTAGTCTGCTGAATCTACTGACTGGCTGACAGTAACTGTCTGTGACACTTCCCAGGGACAGAAGTCATGGGTGCAAGTGTATTGTGACAGAGTGCAACCTTTAAAGGCCAGCAACTGAAGCACAACAGCACCTAAACCCAGCAGTTCAGATTAATTTGGCCTCCTCTTCTTGTTTATGGTGAGCAGATCTAAAAGCATCCATAACCACAAACATAAAATGGCATACACACTCATATTATATACACAGACAAGATTTTCCCTTTACCACTCAAGTAAAAAAACATTTGAGCTTAAGCTGTCTCATGTGGCGCCATGGATCTAGAGAAGTCAGGGCTATACTGCAATACAGACATTTTCCTTGTGCATTATGATTAATTATAAAATCTGTCTTTCAGTTGCCAATTAGTGTGGTACTCACAGCCACTGGCAGTTAATGTGCCCTAGTGTATCCCAAATAGGAAACAAAATCCTCTAGTGCCACCTGCTGGTCGAAGTTACTTGCATTAGTATTTCAGAGTGAACAACAAATAATATGACCCCAACACTGAGACTGTGGTTTTTACTTGTTGATATATTTGGGGAGGATTTAAAGAGTTTTACTGAGAGAAGCTGGATGATTTGGCTGAATTCCTTTGCCACAATCTTCCATTGAGATAATTCACATTTTATCTGATGTAAAAAGTAGTCTCAGTTTGCCAATACTGTGCACCAAGTAAGATGAGAAGAACAGAAGGGAAGGAATATGAGACAGTATAAAAGTGTACTTAAGAATTCTGTACATCTTATACATAATAATTGTATCTGTCTATGTGTGTTTGTACCTCTCATAAATGGTCTTGAGGGTGACTTGGTCAGACACTCCATCATTCTCTTCCAGAAAGAGGATAATCCACGATGTCCTGTATGGCCATTCCTCTGTCAGGTTGATCCATGATGCCAGCCGATCCCAATTGAAGATGATCTGATTGGCCCGCAACAAACGACCTGTCAACAGTCGTGCAGAGGAGTTGCTGGTCAGTGTAATCATAATTTCCCTGAGAAAACAAGCATCTTAGAATTGTGAATCCCCCTGATGGTCAGTTAATAATCTGTCCAAAGCTCAAATGTCACTGAGATCCTTTCATACAGGACGATATTGTTGTTACATGACATGTTATCACACCCTGCAAGCATCTGACAGACTGTATGGGCAGGGTATAAACAAGCTAGTCGAGGTCTGCTATACTGCTCCTTAGTTCTGTTGCTCTTACATTATCTGTTAATGTATTAATACATTTGTGGGTGAACAAAAAGTCTCTGTTGTGTTGTCATTGTAATGAATAACTACTTGTAATGTAAACCTTTTTAAGCTTAATTCAAAATATGCTTCCCATTAAAATGCTTGTGTCAAAAGCATCACCTCTGCAACCATGTTAGCCTAGGAGCAAATACCATCAGTTTTGTTCTCTTCCAAATCCACTAATGTTTACCCAATGGCTGACTCAAGTTAAAAATCAACGCATTAAGAATGAGTGAGCCATCCGGTCTCCTTAAATAAGGTTAAACCACTTTAATTTAGCTGTAAAACAAACTGATTTACTCATGTTTTGAGATGAGGGTGGGGGTACAGCAGAGAGCAGCCTATTCTTTACCTGTGATAGAAACAATGTTGACCAGCCTCCTCATGGTCTGTGGGCTAATGTCACTGAACCAGTCCTCGGTCACCAGCAGTTTGGTCAGGTCAAAGGACATCTGTCTGGTGATGCTCCTCTGCATCTGGCGGCGCCGGTATGTGTCCTTAACAGACAGAAAGCATACAAAGACAACCAGAAAGTCAAGTTACCATGAGAGCATGAATGTTGACATCTTTGGATCCACCGTGTTTCCTGTTTCGCTTGTGATTTCATTGCAGCTTGTATCATCCAATCATGGCACCAAACATTAAGTGACAGTGAATAATCATATCAAAACTTTGAAAAGAATCAAGACTGCATCTTTACAGTGTATGATTTTATGTAGTATACAAGCAGGAAATGAAATGTGGGAACCAATACAAAATCTTAAAAAAAAAATTAGCTCTCTAAAGACAAATGTTAAAAGCAACAATAAGATAAACAACAGCATCACATAAATTTTGACCCTGGTAGTGGTCTGAGAACTTATGCACCACCGTGGCTGCAAGCTGTGCATCATGAGATAGGACAGCAGGCGTTTCAGGGTAAATATATGATCTCAGGCCATATCATTATAAAAACATAAGCCTGGATAAGCTGAAGCAAAGATGGATGGATCCAAACCCTATCCATGTTCAACAGTACATACACCCAGCTAGGTTATACATTCCTGGGATTATATTACTATCATCCTACAGTGTATGAAGTTGTTATTTCAGCATATCCATGACATTATTAATTTTTCACTAGTACATGAATATTTAGGGACTGTCAGGTTTACCCAGCAATTTAATTGTCTGAAAGGGTTTGAGTGAAAGCAATTGCTGTTTTCCGCCTTCACACTGTCATTCATCACTCCTTCCATACCTCCTCATGAGAAAACCATATAATTCTCTGTGACTGCAAATAAAAATCAAAGTGTCATTGTCCAAAGCTGAACAGTCATGACACACAGGCAAGCTACTGACACAGATCTACCAGAGAACATCTGTGAGGATATCAGACAGCTGTTATGGTCATGGGCCAAGGCAAGTCTTTTGGTTGACTTTGAAGTCATAACTCCAGTTTCAGGGCCTCTTTCTCAGAGAGATGGAACATATGGCCACTACCCAGCCAGGCCTGAAGCCGGTACAGGTAGCCCTGTGTGACTGATGTTCTGATCTACAGTATATTGATTCTTTTTTTTTTTTTTTTTAGATGACAGATTTTGTATTTGCTCACTACAATATAAACCAAAAATGGTTGACAAGTGGACAAGTGGTTGATATCTAAAATTGTTGAGTAGTTATGCTTTGTAAGAATTTAGCTTGGAAATAACAAATTTTTGTCAAATTCCAGAAGGAAAGATCGCTAAGCAAACAAAAAATAATAACTAAACCTCTGAGTGGATCAAATGTTTGCTTTGATACAACAAGATTCTTAGGTGAAGCATCAGGCTGGTGTTGTGTCTCAGGCAGTACAAGACATTTTTGTTTAACTAAGCCACTTGTTCATTCATACATCAAGCGCTTTGTTGTATACATCAGCCATATTCTCTACTTAAGTCAAAAGGTGTCATTATCTTTACATGTCAGTTTTTGCACACTGGAATAAAACATAGATGTTGAAAATTATATCCAATCAGCTCTTTTAAAGGTCATTTGAGTTCAGCACCTAAAAAAAACCATACAACTTTCTACATTTCAATTTGGAAGCAGAAAACTGTTTTAACAGTGTAGACCAGCATATTTAATTTACTTGTAAAGGTGTTTCATTTCATTCTAATCAATGGAATGCTAGAGACAAGCATAATGTCAACCCCAACTGGTGAAGTCACATGGAACTGGAGAGCCACTCATTCATTTTCCCCTCCTGCCCTCATTTTAAACTCCACTTGTAGAAAGTGGGCCCTCCTGCCAAGAGCTAGCTAGTGGCAGAGGGCAAATAAAAGAGCATCCCATCCAGTTATAAAAGGGCCAAAACCAATAACTGAGGGTACTAGATAAACCAAAGGTATAAACAAATGTCAAACAAACAAACAAGCGAGCGAGCAAGAGAGGGGGGTAGTGGCAAGGTCTTGCAGGGGGGGAGGAAAGCATCAGTGAGAGCAGCAGAGTCACTTAGCCTCCTGCCAGCAGACCTGGTGCCAATGTTTTGTCACAGGCAACCACTGCTGCTAGGCCTTGTCATTAGGCTGTGGCAACTCAGCAGGAGGAGTAAACAGCCATTACATCAATTACACCAGGAACCCTGACCACACACCGAGCACCTCTCTCTTTTCATCTCTGTGCGTCTCCTTCTATCCTCTGGCCTCTGAGCTGCCTGCCAACACCATGCCTGAACTGAACATCCCCTTCAGGGAGGAGGCTGAGAAGACAGAGCAGTGTCTTTCTAAAGCAGCATCTCTAACCCTAACCCAGTGTTTTCAATTTTAGGTGTGGCCCATTTTATTTTTGTTTGATTGTCAAGATATCAAGTATTAATTTTCAGTTTCATATTTCCAGATAACATAAATGTTATGGGAATGAGTGTGATTGGAAAACGCATTTATTTTACCCCATTCTATGTATTTCCTTTTCAATTTTGTATCAAAATCCTCTGCAATTTGTCTTCATGGTTGACTTTTTTGAATTGGTTGTTCTGGGTTATGATGGGGTGTGCAGTGTGTCTATTTACACAGTGCTTGCTATATCTAATTTGGACTTAAATGATCCTATTCTTCCACTTGTATTTCTATTATTGCCTGTCTATTATTATTATTACCATTCTTCCATCTAAAACTCATATTACATATCCAGCCATCTGAGCAGGGGGATCTTCTGTTTGGGTGCCATAGTAGGGTCAGGAACCACTGATGTGAAACTGTGAACTCCAACAAAACACTGTACATGACACTGGTATACACTAATAAATTTGGACTTGAACTGCTGTTACCCTGCGGTTTAGGGTGTTCTTGCTGCCAATCTTGACTTGATCTGGGCCCAAACTGTTCTGAGATAACTTCCTGTCCAGGTCTTCATTGCATCCTGGTAAGAGAGAGGTTGAGACAATGAAAATGACAGCTGACCGATGCCTGTGAATAACAAAAATGAACACCAAATATTAGATATCTCCATTCAAAAACAACTACAGCTTCTGAATCTGTCAATGGCCCAATTCTGATATATGTGTATATATCATATCATATATTAGTCTTTTTCCTTTACCTTCAGCAAGAAATACCTCTCCATTGGAGGCGGCTGCCATGCACAGCTTCTTGGCTTTAATGAAGCCTCTGCTGTTGAGAAATACTGGCAAGTGGACAATGTTTCTCATGTAGTCATGGCCGTTGATGTTGGAGTCTCTCAGCACGCTGTTGAGGTTTTGATTGATGGCTTTGATGATAATATGAGGGTCACTGGCAAAGATGGAGATAAAGGGGCCTTTGGAGAAGAGTACCCTCACCTGGAGTGAGAAAAGAACCATAGGATAGTCTGTAAAGGATGCCTTTTTAGTTATTCCATAAAATATGTTTTTTTTATGGTGTCAGACTGCCGTTGTTACTTTTAATGGGAAAAACGTCATTATTTATACAGAGCTTTGACATGGATCTGATATGATTCACTACACACTGATTCACTACATGACTCACTACACACTGTACAGTGTGTAGCACAATTTGAGTGGATTACAATATAATTAATCAACAACAAGGCAGCTAGAGGCAACAGTCAGGTGTAGTACTTAAAATTAATGACACCTGTGAAAGCTGACTGTCCTCGTGGTGTTGGAGATTTCCACTCGGCTAAATTAGGGACATTTGCAAGTGTCACAGGACATCGATTTGTGCTACGTGCATACAGTGTTTGTTAACCACTGGCCAGCATCCTCAGGCTTGCCCCAGAAGATGAAAAACCTCTGTCCCTACAGCAGCTGTCAGTACCATCACATAATGTCGGCATCTTTAACTCACATTATCTAGTAGACACAGCACGCTTACTATAAAAACATAAAGATTTAATTTTGCAATTTGTGTAGACTACAAAAAATGGATTTCAGAGTGCTGTGTCTGAATTTCTCTGAACAGAAAATGGTTTCACAGTGACTGAGAGTTGCCTGCAGAGATGAGAAGATTACATTAGCACACAGGAGGCTGCCATCTTCTCTGGGATTATTTTGCCAAATAATAACATTTGGCTAAAGGAAATTCTATTACAGCAGCTGGGAAGAAGAATCTAAACTTGGAGGAGAGCTGAGGCAGCTGGGAACACCGGGGTGGCTGCACTGCAGAGATGTGCATAAGCACGTGTGAACACATACTGTGTCCAGCATCTGCAGCACTTTGTCCTGCTCACAGGCATCCAGTCCGTCGATGATGACGGCCATACGCGTCTGGTTCTGGGTGAAGCCATCAATAGTTTTGGCCATTTTTGACATTAGCTCCACCTCATGCTTCAGAACCTGGTGAGAGGTGGGGAAGAAAAATAATAAACTAAAAGACATTTTCAATAATTAAGTGAGAAAGGAAACTGGCTGGATTAGGGACTACAACTTCAATTCCCTTTGAGTAGACGCAGTGAATTAATCTACCTTCATAAATCCTTCGCTCTTGAGTTTGTGCAAGTTGTTGGCAGCACTGTGCAGGCGTTTCCTCTGGGAGTTGAAGACAGAGTCAGCCACCTGCCACCAGGTCTTAATGTTGAGCAATAAGGCGAGGCCCACCACGCTGGCCATAGCTATTAGCACTGCATTTATAGTCAAGTTATCAGGGTCCACCTAGGAAATAAAAGCACTGAAACTGAATACTGGAGCATCCAGTGATCTACTGGTCAGAATACATACAGTTTGAACATAGGGTTCACAGTTCACTGATCTAACTCACCTTAAAAATGGCCAACAGTGCCAGACCAGTGATCAGGCATCCAACTGTCAAGGCAAACAGCACGAAGGACGGAACACAACATGTTTTCTTCCACTTCTTACCTGGGGTATTAGAAGAATGCAGGAGTACAAAATATTAGGAAAACATTTTTTCTTCCACTTCCTACACAGACTAGCTTTATGACTACCTTCACATGGTTGTTAATGAGGAAAACACCGGCTCAACAGTTAGTTTTAAGCACTAGCATGATTACAAAAGCACCATTATGCTTAAAGGAGTCCCATTCCCAACAATCTCATTTTGTACTGATGCAAGTAAATACCAATTACAAGAAATCCGATTAAGGGAAATGGTTAACTGTGCTGTTAAACAAGAATACATTTCACCTCTTTTTATTTTGGTTTTATTGTCAAGACAGACTGCAGGGCATTTCAATGTCACCATATGAAGACAAGCACTACTTAAAGTCTGGCTAAAGTAGAAATAAATGTGTTCTGAGTTTGTCACACCACAGTTTGTCACAGTGTGTTAGCTTATTAGGCTAAGCAAAGACCTAACTGTCGTGTTCTGTCCAGTAGAGCAGCTGTTATCTCCTCTTCTTCAAGGCTCTATTCCTTCACCAACTGTGGTCGGTTCAGACCAGCTCCAACACACTGACCGTTAATATGTTACTACTTTTGTCATTGTTTAATACTGAGGTAGAAGCATTAATTTTTTTTTTATTTAAAAACATAACTGTGGCTGTAAAGTTTTGTCTGTGTTCATATCGAGTCCCCATAAAAGCAAACGTAAGCATAGAGCTCTGTGCACTCTAGCTTTTACAACATTTCAGTGCTGAGATCCAGTCACCTTGGACCTCATCATTCTTGAAAACTCTGAAGAGTCTGGTGGCCATGAAGCCAAACTCCCTCTCGCAGGCATCTGAGAGTGTGGCAATCATCTCAGCCATAGAAGTCTCCCCTCCAACACTGGACAGGCGATTATAATCGGTGAACAAGAACCTGTGTGATGTGTGAGAAAGACAGGAGAATGAGTATTTCTCTTAGATACGCTGCAACCTACAGCTGAGTTTAATACTTATAATGAATGTAGTGTGGCAAACCAATTGTTAACAAATGCAGTGTTTCCGCTGGGAACATTCAAATGTGCAGCCACGCCAAACCTCTTTATACGCAGGAAACACTGAAATGTTCACATCTTTTGTCTTGGACCTGGGAGAGTGATACTGTAATATTACAGAAGAAAACTGCAGGGACTATAATGAGGGTATTTCTGTGCCTGTGTATATCTGTCACAGTCACCTGACAGGCAGTGCACGGGTAGTCTGCTCAGGAAGTTCAGGGGGGTTGACAAACATCAGTTTGAGCAGCAGCTCCATGTAACCGACTTGGCGTGCCAGACGGGTGCTGATGACCCATGCCCAGTTCCAGCTCTCCCTCTCACGTCGGCTTCCAAAGTACACCAAAACTGGACAGAGTATATGAGATGGTCAGCCAGGGAGTTTTCGTCTTTTTAGCATTTCACTGAGCTCACAATTCATAACATTAAGCTCTGTTCTCTATTTAAGTTAAGAAACTCAAGTCATCATCATGTTTGATACTGGTTGTGTAATGGCTCCCTCTAGTGAGCAGAGCAGTTTCAAAAGCATCACACAGAAAAGCATCACTTTGTATAAATGGGTAGTGCTTTTTTTGAATAATCCAAAGACTGTTTCAGGGCCCAATGTTAGTGGAGATTTCTACATTTAGAAGACCTATGTGTTCATGATATTTTTATACATCTTTAATAAAGAATTGTAATAGCTTTATACAAACATATGAATAAGCATTTCTATTTAATCCACTTGGAACTCTGTCTAACTGCAGACTGATGGATATATAAACACTTTGAGATTACTTTGAAACCCTCTCCCACCTATACTGCGATTCAACAATTCTTGATTGTACATCTAGCGAGATCTCTTTTTTGCAAGCCATGGTTCACATCAGCAGATGCTTTTTGTGAATAGCAACCACCTCACCAAAAAAGATGTAGAGGATGGTTAGGAGGGTGAGGGAGACGGCAATCGCCAGCTTGGGATTAACAGAAAAGCCCAGAATCACAGTGACTGAGCCGCAGAGTAGCAATGTGAGGAAGACCACCAGCCATGAGAATTGGAACAACGGCTCTATCTGCTGGCCCGCAAATGTCTTCATCTCATCTGGTGGACAAGAGGAGAAGAAGGAACAGGCGTCAGGACAATTAAATAACTAAAGAAACTGAGAAAAGCCTCAAACCCAATAAGCAAATGTCCACATTTTTTATTTTTCATCTTTGTATAAGATGGCTTTATGATGCAGTGGGATCACTTACCCTCTAGTTTCTTAAGAAGGAAAGACTTGCCACTACCCCACTGAGCATACAGGCCAACACAGATAGGTGGCTGCATGGTGGGCTCGCTCAGGATGTCTGCTAAAGCGCTGCTATACAGGTCATAACCCAACATGTCTCCATCTGACTCAGAGGGGGAAAGGTGCTCTGAGAAAAAAAAGTGATTAAGAAATGTAAGAATGCAAACATAGCGGTGTAGATGAAGATGGCAGGAGATAAAGGCTATACTCCATCTTTATGAAGGACATAGCATGGAGAAGAGGGTCTTACTGGCTCCAAAAATCTGTGTAAGGATGCTTTTCTGGTGGGTGCAGTCAATGTTGTAAGGTGTCTCTCCAGCTTTGTTGGGACGGTACAGGAGGCGGCCATCTTTAGGGTTCCTCAGAAGCAGCTCAGCCAATTTTCGGCTTCGTCCTCGGATGGCAATGTGGAGGGGGGTGTCTCCTTTCTGTGTGGAAAACAAAACAAACTAAATTGAAAACTGCTCACTGAAAACTGAACGGTAACTACTTATAACACAGCGGGCAAAAAATTATTCTCCAGGTTAATAATAAACTAAATGACGCCATTGAGTACATTCTGTACAAGCGCATGTCACGTGCGTGTGTTAAACTGTACCTTGTCAACTGCAGCCACCTTGGCTCCTTTATCAAGCAGCAGCTCCACTATCTCTATGTTCCTCATTTTTGTTGCTTTGATAAGTGGGGTCTCACCCTCCTACAACACAAACATATACAACATTTCACCTACACACAACAGTTTTTCAGAGAGAAAGAAAACCAAGGGTAATGTATATTGTTAATTCTTGTGGTCAGTAGCAACGGATTTCAGGAGTATGTTACTTTAGAAGTAACGTTTCATAAATTTAACATTAAATGTTAAGAAAGACTGTCTTTTACTTCTTTGCTTCTGAGGATGCCATACCTTGGTGCAGCTCTCTGTGTCAGGGTTACACTGCAGGATGTCTCTCACCATGGTAGCATTGCCTTTCTCCACTGCCCAGTAGAGGGCAGTCTTTCCATCCTGATACAGAAAGGACAAGGCAAAAAATTTCTTATTCATCTGAGAAAATATAAACTGTCAGAAATGCAAAAACCATATGCACAGTGTTGAAATAGCAGAATGCAGTATATTAGTATCACTATGCACAGTGCATCAAATTGTCTGTTTATGTAGCAGTAATACATTTTCACCCAAGCATTAAAGTTCACTTTACCAAGAAAAACAGAGCTAAATAAACAGTATTGAGTAGCAGTGACATTTTACACAGAGAATACAAGAATGCCTCCTGCCTGCTTTCAAACATCAATAAGGCAGCAAATACAATGGGAAAGGAGCGCCTACCTGGCCCCTGACGTCAATATCAGCGTATTTGTTCAGCAGAGCTCGGACTATCTCCACATGACCTCCTCTCACTGCTCCAATCAGCATTGTTTCCCCACTCTGAAAGAGAGAGAAGAGAAAAACAGACAGTGAGAGGCATTAACTTTACTTCATTCAACCACTTTACACAACCCTGTTGGTGTCAAACAGCAGGCTGGAAATGCTGCAGCAAGGATGCCTTACCCTGTCTGGGATATTGACGTATGTGCCAGCATCCAGCAGGTCTTGTACAATCTCTATGTGTCCATCCTTGGCAGCGATGGCCAGGGCTGTGTTGCCATCCTTATCAGTCATGTTAACATTTGGGTTCCTCTTCAGCAGCTCCTTGACAACTTCTGTGTAGCCACCTTTCACTGCCACAATCAGAGCCGTCATTGAGTTCTGAAAAAAGACAGAGACGCCACTTAGATTTCCAATTTGAAGGTCCCTTTAACACTAACATGTCAGCATGTTAACAAACTTTAAATTACATGTAGGTGTGAGTGTGAGCATGAATGGTTGTCCGAGTCAGCCCTGTGATAGGCTGGCCAGCCCCACCTGGTAGTGTTGGGTTTCTCTAGAATGCTACTAATAAGGGGTAAACTGCAGTCTAGTTACCGCTCCTTCCTGGTCCACATCAGCTCCGTTGGCCAGAAGGTGCATCACACTGTCATAGTGGCCCTTCCTGGCTGCCCAGATCAAAGGAGTAGTACCATACTGAAAAAAATAAGAAAATGGAGTGTATGTGATATGAGAGGCAAGAGATGATTTCGTTAACAACACAGGAATTTATAAATGATGGAAGGATAATAAGCAAAGGAAGAGCGAAAAAGGACTCTGAAACTTTAAGGTGGTTGTGGATTGTGTAATCCCTCAAGTTTATACCACTAACTCCATCATCTGTGTGATTAAAAGCAAGCAAATGATGAACATGTATCAGCATGTAGTTACCTTGTCTGAGCAGTTGACTTTGGCTCCGTGCTGCAGCAGTAGATGAACAATCTCTGCGTGGCCTCGACCTGCAGCCCAGATAATGGGGTAGACGCTGTACTGTTGGGCAGAGGACACGGGCTAAGTCATGCTGACAGCAACTGATCATCAGTGTCAGGCCTGCAGTTGTACTAATGCTTTAAGCCACCTCACATGAGTGAAACCGCAGGTGATGGGGTAGGCATCACACTGTGCAGCTGAAGAACAGGGCTGTAGTTGTGTTCAGTTTTTTTTTACTATAAAATTATGTTCACTGATATATACAACTAATGTTCATCACTTTATAACCAGTTAGTCAAAAGACTGCATTACACGCAATTAACTTTTCCTGTTCAACAGATTCATGTCATATACTGTAAACATACATAGTATCTGTGCAACTCTCAGTGCAGATATGAAGTAACAATGCCAACCATCCTATTACTATGGGGGGAATTAAGAAGGAACACAGTGTGTCCAGTCTCAGTACCTGACCGGTAATGTTGGGGTTAGCTCCTTTTTCCAGCAGCAGCTGGGCCACATCTGTGCGACCTTTATAGGCTGCCCACATGAGAGAATTCCAGCCTCCCTGAGTAGGATACATACACAGAACATAGGTGAGTTGAACAGAAACATTTTGATGACAGGACTACAGAATATCTCTAAATGTAGAATACAGTATATGGTATAAGTAATACAATGACATACAGGTATCATTTTATTGTAATAAAAAGCAAGTGTAACAATAGTATTAAATACAGTTCTTATAGGTAAAATCTTGACAGATTTTGTGGTAGGAATATGTGCTATTTACAGCTAGTGTGACACACTTTCCAGAGAGTATTCCAGTGTATTTTTTATAATCACACTGTGATGACTGGCTGTGATCTGTCTTGTGCAGCTTAGACACGCCTTGTGAGTCAGTTCCATGACGTCACAGAGGCCACGACTCTCAAAAACTTGAAGTTGTATGATCCATAATTAAATAACATCAAAAATGTAAATGTGTGTGTCAATATAGAAATTTTATAAATCTTTTACACCATCTACTCATGGTCACTGCTTGTCAGGAGCATTTTTAATGTTTCTAGCTGCTGGAAATGGTGATCTCATCTTGAGTTGGAACATCTACATCACAACAAATACTTACCAAACATGTTCAGCCCCCAGGTAATCAATATGTGCATCCCCTCTGCACAATGCCAATGCTCACATCAAGAATATACAGTACAGAATAGCTACTACAGTAAGTCCATCTGCCTCTGACAGGTCGTACTCCATGACAACACAGAGAGATAACCAGACCCCAGGAAATGGGATTACTACTAGAAAGAAGCCATCACACAGAACATAATATCATTTTATGTGCATTTATAGGCTAATGGATCATCCATTTCAACCAGCAGCAGGGGCTTCAAATCAAATAAAAACCATGAATATACATTAAATCAAGACAGCATAACTTCATATTATTTTGAATTGTATAAAGAACTCATTAAGAGTCAGCTTACAGAATAGGTTGAAGCCTGTTGTAACTCAGACCTGTGAAGTTTGCAGTTTAATGTTTCCATTATAGTCATAGGATTGACAGTGTGTCATCTTCCTCCATTTTACACCACAGTTTCTTTTTCTTAAGATCATTTCCTTGGCATTCAAGATATTTTTATAGTGGACAGAAAATAAGCGGACACTGTCAAAGGATGACATTCACAAGGCCCTGCACTGCAATTTTCTTATCACCTTCCCCTTTTCGCTGTTTCTTTCTAATTTCTGATTTAATATTAATATACAATTACTGACA